AAGCTGAATGACTTCTCTAGATGGTAGTAGCCAGACAAACTAGATTCAGTGAGTAGAGAGAAGACCATATGAATCTATTGCAAAAATCTTAGGCGTATGCTTACATAGAGAATATAGGGGAACAGGGAGGAATATGTCTAGTCTGGGAAATTGTGAGAACTTAGTCAGATCCTTATCTGAAGTAGTGCTTCTGTCCTTGGTAACAATCTTCCGTTCTGATCAACAAACCATGTCCTAGCACGAGAGGATGCTGATATGACTCGAAGTCGCTGCCATGGCCAGCAGGCGTATCTTATTCTTCTTCGAGCACTGTCTCTCCCTTTTCTTGCATGTGTATCTTCTTGCTCTATCTGCCTTGTCAACTCTTCTATTCTCTGTTGTAAACCAGCAGATCTACTGTCAGCAAGCTTAAGGCATGCATCTGCAGCAGCTTGCGCTGCCATTGCACTGGCGGCTAGTTTCTCTTTTAGCTGTATCTTGCTGTTTGCAGCATCTAAATCTGCTTTGACCCTTGTCAGTTCTTCTCTGAGCAAGGTCACCTGAAAATGCACCTCGTTAGAACATGTACAACTCCTCTGATGAACGACTAAATGAGAGTATGGTATTTTGCACTATGAAAAATATTACCAGAGACGTTTTCCTGTTGTAGTTACCTATGTTTTAAAGGCGTCCCTAAGGCGACGCCTAGGCGTCGAAGCGCTCCCCCTCCGCTTTGGAAAATCGACCGCTTTGGGCGCCTAGGCGTCCAAAGCGCCCGCCTAGGCATCGCCTAGGCGCCAAAGCGCCCCCCCTCCCTAAGGCGGTAAGGCGTCGCCTTAAAAACATAGGTAGTTACTGCAAACTCAAGGATTTGAAACTTGCGATTTTTCATTTTCTAAGTAGTAAAAGTTGGGCATGTTTATCCCTTTGAATTTTTGTGTTCTAATTACTTTCAAGAGAAACCATATCAATTCTGGAATGACTTTTATCAGTCTGAGATGCATTTTTTGGGACCTGAAGAGGTCCATTTTATTACCTCCTGGTTTAGTTCTTTAATGGCAGCTTTTCCAGCTTCTACCTCCAACGCACATGCCTCTCTCCATCGTGCAGCTTCCTGTTCAACTTCTTTTACCCCGACATTGAGCTCTTCCACCTTAGGTATGAGAAAGAGACTTCAGATCCTTCATAATTACAGGACTAGCAAATAAAAGAAACTACATAAATAAATAATAGATATGCTTATACACTCTGAAGTAGGAAAATTTCTCGTTCTCTCAGATCCTGTATGTGTGACTCGTGTTTGATTATCTTCTGAGCCTGTTCAGCAGCAATGAGATGGAAATGATCACAGTCTGACCTGTTGGAGCAGTTTGATATTATCAGTTAGCACAGATTACAGACCGGATCTCTAGTGGTCCATCAAAAGAATTTATCTTAGCTATCTTTGGTCGATGACGACTTAGTGTACCTGGACTCGTCTAAGACCTGTCTCAGATCATTGATCTCATGATGCAGGTTTTTCAGTGTCTTTCCAACTATTGAAGCCTGAAAGGAAATAACTTGGAGGAGATTATTAGCAGAAAAGTTTTGCAATGGACAATGATTTTAGTTAACAAATAATTAACATAAGATGGCAGATGGTTTCTAGTTGCATTGCATGAAAAATCATATAATAGAGATTGCATGACAATTGCTTCTAGGCATGCAAATGGGTACCCTCTGACCCTAACTAGTTCAATCAAATGAACTGAAAATTCCGAAAGACCTCTTTTTTAGAATTGTTAGTGCATTTATTTGAACTAGCTAAGGTCAGAGGATACCCTAAAACCCTTCAATTTGCATCTCTAATTGCTTGACAAATAACAACTTCATATTGTATCGGATTATTATATCTAAACAACAGAACTATGGCAGCTACCGAGGAATGATGTAGAAATACTTACCAGACTGTCAACCTCCTGTTTAGTTTCTCTTCCATTAGATGCTGCACTGGCACTGGAGCTACTCATCTCATCTCCTTCTGTTTCTCCACTTATCACCTCCATGATGAAGCCAAAGCCAACCTTCTGCAACCCCTTCTCAGCGATCTGCAGGATTGAACTTCTTCTCTGATCGCCATCGCCCTTCAACACACGAAGGCTATTCTCCGCCGCCTCCTTCTCGGTTACAGCAACTTCCAGCATGCTCCTAATATCCTGGTTCTCCTTCTTTAGGCTTGATATCACACTGTCCATCCTGCATCTCTCCTTCCTTTCCTTCTCCCTGCACTCCGAGAGCCTGATCTCCACCTCCTTGACCAGATCATGGATGTGATGAGCCTCCAATTCCAGGAATCCCAGTCCATCCTTGGGATCGAGCCTCGAGCGGTCAGAAATCCTTACTGCTTTGACCTCGGAAGCTCTGTCCAGGATATTCTCCAAGATGTCTTGCGCCGAATGGAGCGAGACGACAATCTTCTGCACGGCATACTTGGTTTGATGACCCATGGCTGGTATATCTGCATATATCTGGTGCAAGGGAAGATAAGGGATGGTTTTTCTAGAAGGGAAGGCGCAGTACATAGCTGACAGTCAAGGGAAACCTTGAAGGGTAGTTGGCTGGTCCACTGCCCGTGTTTTTCTTCCTTGGCACATATTCAGGGTTGTGACATACACGCTCTGAGTATGACTCTGACTTGTTCTTTTTCGCTTCTTTGCACTTCCCAAGCGATATTCATCGACACAAATTTAACTCTCTTTTTAAACAGCAGAAATGTAACTTATGTGGCTTCCTTGATCATGAAAATGCCCAAAGATTTTGGAAGATGTTTCCTATTTCCGACCATACTTGGGGGTGACACAAATTGTGTCGGCGTCGATGCACTTGAGGAAGACCGTTGAGTCTCGGGCGTGGTAGATGCCGGATCGTTGGCATCCGCGTCGTCGGCGTAGTCGTCGTGATCGTGACCATCATCTTGATTGTCATCATCACTATGCGCCTCGTTGTCGATGTCGTTGCCGAGATCTCTACCCGTGTCTTGCGCGTCGTTGTCGCTATCACCTTGCGACCCATGCGCGTCGTCGTTGGTGTCGGCACCATGGTGATCACTGCCATTGCGGTCACCTTGGTTAGGTGTCTTGCCAACCACCTGGACATCCTCCCTTGCATCTTCTTCCCGTGCTCGATTATTTCGAGCACAAGCTTCTTCGGTAAAGAGGAATCAGACGATTCGAGTGAAGTTTTTTGTAACGTATCAATAAGATATCAGTTGGAAATTCAACAGTGAATATGTTACCGTTTGGAGCATCGTCGGCTGCTGCGCTCCAATTCCACGCTTGGTTTTCTTCAAACACAACGTCGCGTGAAATCCGTAGACGCTTGGTTCGTGGATCGTAGAAGCGGTATGCCTTGGTGCCGGAACTCCTCTCATACCCGATGAACACCATCTTGGTGCTGCGATCGGCAAACTTTGAGAGATGTGGCTCCGCCGTCTTCACATGCGCCACGCACCCGAACGTCCGTAGATGAGACACATTCGGCTTCCGTCTGTAAATTGCTTCATACGGAGTCTTGCCAATCACCGCCTTCGTTGGAGCTTGGTTGAGAAGATAGACCGCCGTCGAGACAGCTTCTCCCCAAAATGTCCCCGGCAAGTTCTTGCTCTTGAGTAAACTTCTGGCCATGTCAACGACAGTTCGACTGCGCCTTTCAACAACCCCATTTTGTTGCGGCGTATAAGGTGTCATGAGGAACCTCTTTATGCCAATCTTCTCGCAGTAGTCGTTGAACTCGTTCGACGTAAACTCTCCGCCGCGATCTGTCCGTAGAGCGCGAACCTTCAACTTGTGTTCCATCTCCGTTGCAGCCTTCAGCTTCTTGAACGCTTGAAACGCCTCATCTTTAGATCGTAGGAGAACGACCCACATGTATCTCGAGTAGTCATCTACCACAAGGAAGAAGTACTTCTTTCCTTCGTGAGTTGCTGGGGTGATAGGGCCACATAGATCACCATGGAGCAGCTCGAGTGCATCACTTGCACGATAGGTGGACTGAGCAGGGAACGGCCCGCGGTGCTGTTTTCCAACCAAGCACCCATCACATACTCGATCAACATGGTCGATAAATGGCATCCCAGATACCATCTCCATCTTCGACATCTTCTTCAAGGCGTAGAAGTTAACGTGTCCAAATCTAGCATGCCATAACCACGAATCATCATCACTCTTGGCGAGCCAACACTCCGGTTGAGATTGATCAAGGTTGAGAATATAGAGCCTGTTCCGCGTGTGATTCACACGCGCTAGCACGTTTCGGAGGTTGTCGAAGATCGTCATCACTCCGTTCTTGATATCCACCTTGCATCCATTCTCATCAAGTTTCCCGACAGAGATGATGTTGTTGCGAAGTCGTGGGATGTAGTACACTCCGGTGAGTATGCGATGTTCTCCTTTGAGACCCTCGAAGAGGACAGAACCTTGCCCGCAAATCTCCACATTTGAACCATCACCGAACTTGACCGAGCCTTGAACATCATATTCTAGCTCAAGGAACTTCTCCTTGCACCCCGTCATGTGGTTACTGGCACCCGTGTCGAGATACCACGACACGTTCTGGCTTCCGGATAACTTTGGTGTTACCTTTTTCTCATGAAGTAGCACCTTCCGGTTTGGTTTCACAACCGCTGTTTGGACGAGATCACAAACTTCGGCCATCAGAAGACCTGGACGTTCGTCTTCCTGCTTTGCCAAATTTGCCTTGATCTCCCGCTTGTTAGGCTCCGGACAATCCTTCGCAAAGTGACCCATCTCGTTGTAGTTATAGCACTTGACCTCGGACATATCCAAGTTTCGTGGCTTCCGCTCTTTAGATCGGTCCGCCTTACACTAGTAGAAAAGGGGGCAATGGTCCAGGCAGGGCCAGCCCATTAGTCCCGGTGCAGTCCAGAACCGGGACCAATGGAGGCATTGGACCCGGTTCGTGAGCCCCGGGGGCCGGCCGGGCCACGTGGGCCATTGGTCCCGGTTCGTCTGGACCTTTTGGTCCCGGTTGGTGGGACGAACCGGGACCAATGGTCCTCGCTCCTGGCCCACCACTATTGGTCCCGGTTGGAGGCATGAACCGGGACCAAAGGCTGCCCATTAGTCCCGGTTCATACCACCAAACGGGATTAAAGGGTTGGTCCTCGTTGCGGCCAGAGTTTAGTCCCACCTCGCCAACCGAAGAGGGCTCACACCGGTTTATAAGCCCCTCCCTCTCTGCCTTGTTGAGCTCCTCTCAAAATGAAAATAGATGCCTTTATACAGGGAATTTGACCTAAATTCATACTGAATTTCTCTGAAGTTAGTATAAATTTATTATGAATTTAGGTTGAATTTTCCCTATAAAAGTATCTATGCTCATTTTTTTACTAAGTTAATCACAACTATTTTTTCTTTTATTTATTTCTGAGTAGTTTTTTATATAGTTTTTTTCTTTTCTGCTATATTTATTTTTTTCTTTTTATTTCTGAGTTGTAATAAGTCATTAAAAATAAGCATCTATGCTCATTTTTTAGTAAAGTTAATCACAACTATTTTTTCTTCTATTTATTTCTGAGCTGTAATAAGTCATTAAAAATAAGCATCTATACTCATTTTTTTAGTAAAGTTAATCACAACTATTTTTTATTCTATTTATTTTTGAGTAGTTTTTTATATAGTTTTTTTTCTTTTCTGCTATATTTTTTTCTTTTTATTTCTGAGTTGTAATAAGTCATTAAAAATAAGCATCTATGCTCATTTTTCAGTAAAGTTAATCACAACTATTTTTTCTTCTATTTATTTCTAAGCTGTAATAAGTCATTGAAAATAAGCATCTATGCTCATTTTTTAGTAAAGTTAATCACAACTATTTTTTCTTCTATTTATTTCTGAGTAGTTTTTTATATAGTTTTTTTCTTTTTTGCTACATTTTTTTCTTTTTATTTCTGAGTTGTAATAAGTTATTAAAAATAAGCATCTATGCTCATTTTTTTGTAAAGTTAATCACAACTATTTTTTCTTTTATTTATTTCTGAGTTGTAATAAGTCATTAAAAATAAGCATCTATGCTCATTTTTTTAGTAAAGATCAAAACTATTTTTTCTTCTATTTATTTTTGAATAGTTTTTTATATAGTTTTTTTCTTTTCTGCTACATTTATTTTTTTCTATTTATTTTTGAGTGGTAATAAGTCATTAAAAATAAGCATCTATGCTCATTTTTTTAGTAAAGTGAATCACAACTATTTTTTCTTCTATTTATTTCTGAGTAGTTTTTTATATAGTTTTTCTCTTTTTTGAAATATATATTTTTTCTATTTATTTCTGAGTTGTAAAAAGTCATTAAAAATAAAAAGAGGCGCAATGCTCGTTAATTTGCTTCAAGCCTTTTGGAATAGTGTCAACTGCACTGCACATAGCTCCGTGCAGTCTACCCTATTCCTCAAGGTTTGAAGCTAACCAACATGCAGTTGAGCATTGAGCCTCTTCTTCATCGTCTCTGCGCTCAGGGCTTATAAACAGCTGCGAGTGCCTCTCGCTTGGCGAGGTGGGACTAAAAAAACAGCTGCAGAAAGAATGAACTAAAAAACAGCTGCAGAAAATAAATAAGTAATTAGACGGGTCCATTGGTACCGGTTGGTGGCGCCAACCGGGACCAATGCCTCTCTTTAGTCCCGGTTGGTGGCTCAAACCGGGACCAATGCGCATCTTTAGTCCCGGTTGGCGGCACCAACCGGGACCAAAGGTCTTTGTTTCCCGCCCTTTGGGCTGCTGAAAAGAGGGCTTTGGTCTCGGTTGGTGCCACCAACCGGGACTAAAGGGGCATTGGTCCCGGTTTGTGCCATGAACCGGGACCAAAGCCTTTGCTATATAAGTAGCACTTAGGAAAATTTCAGAACCGCATCCCCACTTCGATCTCTCCTCCTCCTCTCCCGACGCCGCGCGCCGTCCCCTGCCGCCACCTCGCCGTCGCCGCCCCGCCCCGACGCCGTCGCCGCCCCGCCCCGACGCCGTCGCCGCCCCGCGCCGCACCTCGCCGTCGCCGTCGCCGTCGCCATGAGCAACTTTTTATGATTCTTGTTAGATTTTTTTGTAGTTCATAGATTTTTTTGTTAGATTAAATGTGTAATAATTTAGATATGTAGTTCATAGTATGTTAATTTATATTGTGTAATTAATTTGTTCATATTGTGTTAGATTTTTTTGGTGATATTATTGTTGAATATATATGCATGTTTGATGATATTATTGTTAATAAATTTTTTTGGTGATATTTAGATTGTGTAATTAATTTTGTTCATAGAATTTTAATGGTTTTTTGTTCATGGTATTTAGAAAAAGGAAAAAAATAAGAAGAGAAAGTGTTTAATATAATTAGTTAGAAAAATAGTAGTTTATTTTTAGTAAGTACTATTTTATTTTATTTATAGTAAGTGCTTCATATGTAGTTGAACTAGCTAGTTGATTTAATAAACTAATTTATTTTACTATATATAGAGTTTGTTTTTAGTAAGTACTACTTTATTTATTTATAGTAAGTGTTTAGTAGTTGAACTAGATAGTTGATTTAATTAATAAAACTACTTTATTTAACTATATATAGAAGTAGTTCCCGCATCGACGTCGGCGATTCCTATCCCGCATCCTCGTCGTCGTCGACTCGGCGGTGGAGGCCTGCTTGATCAGGGCCATGTTCGGGACTGGGCTCCGCCGGGCTGGTATTGGGAGGTGCTACCTTCCGGGGGACGTAGGTTGGTGAGGAGGCAGCCCGTTATTGACCCGATCCTTGTTTGGTGGCGGTCGCGTGCTGAGGCTTCCGGACACCGCGGAGGTGGTACGTCACCGTGTCAGCGAGGAGGACGAGCACGTCCGTCGCTACATGGTTGCATTGGAGGGCAGGTTCGACAATACCTGGCAGGTTCTTCAGGGATCTCACTGGAGCTATGATCCTGTGATGGTTCCTTATCTTTGTGTGTCCACCGCCCGCGACGATACCCGTCGGGCGCTACGGTTCTAGTTGTATTAGTGATGCTATATTAGTGATAATATTCGAAAATGTACGGACACCAAGAGATGATGTACTTTTGCTTATAATTATTGAATGCATGCTAATTTGAATACTACTTTATTTTATGATTTGGTTTTGCTTATTTTATGATTTGGGTTTTGCTTATTGAATGCTCATATTGGATAAGTTCTCCTTCATTCTCGTCTGCTAGACAATTTGGTGTAATAATGCACTCGGGAATGAAAGGAGGAGTTACGTACATCACCGATAGTTAACACGTGATTAATAATAATCATCTAGTTTAATATTTGAATTATGAACATAGGCCGGAAATGTCGTACCCGGACCACGAAAACCGCCCGGGGGAGTGCGACTGGTGCCACGACGACCGAGATATGTGCGACAGGTTCATTGAGCTGGACGAAGATCGGCGGTTCAGCATTAAGCTCGAGAAGACCTTCGATGTTCATACGGTACGCAACGACGACAATAGTTTTTTCGTAATTAAGCACGACTTTAACTATTTTAACGTGTATTTTTCATCTTTTCCAATTCGACTAGCTTATCCCATGCTTTGCAAGACGCTATGTCTTGGAGAGGATGGGTTTTGAAGACCATGAAAGTATGGAAATAAAAAAAATTATCCTAAGTACCCATCATGGTGTGGATTTTCAAGTAAAGTTGTACAATGCTTAAAGTGTAACCCATTTTGGTTGCAAAAATTGGGAAGCACTTTGCAAGATGTATGGTTTTGATGAGGGTATGCTTGTCACCATGGATCTTGGTGATCCTACAATCGAGCAAGAGAGACCTTCGATTTGCGTCCTTGTGGATACACCTCCAATTCTTCCCCCATGTGAGCTTAACATAGTTATTAAGTAATTTATATTGTTTATTTCAAAATAGTTGACAACTTATTTCCATTGACAGCTTATTTTCATTCTTCAAAGAATGTGCGGAAGATGGTAGACAGAACCTACTACACCGAAGGCTCCGAATTAACTTATCAGGAGAAAAATCATCTGGTCGCATTTTGTACTGATCTTGAGAATTACAATATCTACAATCAAACTCCTCAATATTATGGTCAATACGTGCCACTAGTGCACGTGTTGAACTACGATAACTACCATGGAGATACCCTGTTAAGATTTTTTACTATTACGACATCCGTGCATCTTTTTGCACACTTCTAGAACTAGTACATCATTGCTAACTACGAAGTTATTACTATGTTTTTCAACAGATAATCCCGAATGATTGTGTGCCTCATCTGATGTATACGCACGGTGCCCTTCATGTTTTGAACATACAACCAGGTCTTCCTACGAATCTCAACTGTCCATACCGGGTTTCTAAAAGAAGTGGAGACATCACAATCAAAGAATGGAAAAAATATATGGACAGTCGTAAGGAGCTTCTTGGAAGCAAAAAGCAGCGAAGGGCAAGAATTGGAGACAGGATGATCGTCATTTTTCATAATGGAGAGTCAGGGTCTATATTGTTTTATGCTATTTTACCTTAAGGGTGTTTAGGTCATACCTGATACTGATGATCATGTGCTAAGAACAATTATGTAGGGTTGGGTTCGATGACTATGAGGATGATGATCGTATGACTTATTATTAATAACGAGTAGAAGTTGCATGATGATGCATGATTAGTAGGACTTGTTATTATATATGATGATGTATGATGCGAGCATGCATGAGTTATTATATCAGCGGGTGAAATGAACATATATAGCAGCAACGTTGGTAAACCAATGACGAAGATATAAGAGAGGACACTTCTCTCTATTAGCTAGCTAATAACAACCTAAAAATAACCCCCAAAACCCCTAAAGCAGCCACCTTTCTAAAAAAACATGGACTTTTGGTCCCGGTTGGTGCCACCAACCGGGACCAAAGGCCCCCCTGACTGGGCTTAGCGCACAGGCCACGTGGAGGCACATTGGTCACTGTTCGTGTTTGAACCGGGACTAATGGGTGGAGGTATTAGTAACGACCCATTAGTCCCGGTTCATGAACCGGGACTAAATACCCTTACGAACCGAGACTAATAGGTGTTTTCCTACTAGTGTTACCACGACCTTGTGGCTTGCCTTTTTCGGTTTGTCCGCCGCTCTTCGTGTTGTTTGAGCCTTCACAGACGTTGCGCCTTCCTTTGCTACTTGGGGACTCCCAATCTGCGTGCGAGTACATGAGTTGGTCACCACCTCCTCCTTTGCCTTTCCGACAGCCACGATCATTCTCTTCCCATGTCCGCAAGCGTCCAATCGCCTCCGTTATGGTCATGTCGTCGATGTCGTAAAGCTGCTCGAGCGTGCCGGTGATGTACGTGAATTTATCAGTCACCGAACTGAAAAACTTCTCCACAATCTTGGTCTCCTCGAGCTTTGCACCAAGCGCGCGGATCTCTCCCACCAATGTAGTCAGACGCATGGCATAGTCGTTCACCGATTCAGTTTCCTCCATCTGCAACTTGTGAAATTGGCGCTTCAGCACTTGTGCCCCGAGCCTTCGTGACACGATCTTCTCCGATCCTCATCTCTTTGAGTGTGTTCCATGCCTCTCTTGCTGTTTCAAACTCCGCCAATGTCATCAGCATGGAATCCGACACAGACTGGGCTATGGCGGCCATGGCACCTTCGTCGCACTCCTTGTCGACGTCGCCATCCGTGATGGCCTCCCACACTCGAAGGGTTCGGAGAATGATCTTCATCTTCACCGCCCACACGCCGTAGTTGGCGTCGGTGAGCATCAGGTACTGGACGGGGATGTTGCAATGCGCCTGTACGTTGGCGCCGCCCGTTCCGCCACCACTTGTTGCTGACTTGCCGCCCTTCTTCACATTGTCGTCTTTCTTGTTCGCCTTGGAACCGCCGTTGCCGGAATTGACCGACTCAGCGTCACTTCCGTCATCGTAGATCGTAGATCGTCGAGGCTCTAGATACCAATACGGACATGGTCTTTCTGAGTCCTCAGGGCTTTGCTACATGTAGCAAGCATAAGTGGGGAAGAAGGTGTAGGAACTATAGAAGATGATTCAGGGGAAGGATTTGACTTGGAAGAATAGGTGTCCTGAGGAAGAAGGTCAGTGGCAGGGAGAAGAGAGGGGTGGGTGGGGAGCGCAGATACATTGATAGCATTAAGTTTTGCAAGGTGGTTGTTGAGATAGCTGGGTGGACTGTACCTGACAATGTCAGCACATTGAATACCAGCCTAGCATATGAGAGATACATGCCGCATAAACTAGTAAGATTGGTCACAATGGGGAGGAACTTAGGAGTAACATCACACATTCCAATACAACTTTGCTTATGTGGCACATATTTAATGAAGAGAGAAGTGCTTGTGGTAACTAGCTAAGTTATCGGAACATCACACACTCCAAAAAACAATGAGTCTATAACCTGATAAATACATCGTTGCATGACACTACATAGATGTCCTACCCATTCTGAAGGTAGTAACATAGTCTAGGGAAGTGTGTAAGTTACTAGCTTTTGTTCTTGCCCATTGTGACCAGACTGATACTGACAGGCTAATATAGTAGATGTGGATCCCGATGCTAATGAATGAGTTAGATTTCGGTGGGCTGAGTCGCCCGCACTTTCGTTGAATATATGCTTAATATATGCCCCTGGACGACAGGCCACCGTGCTGATATATATGTGGAGCCAGTCCTCTATGCACGTCGAGCGGCGGCCAGCCAACCACCATGTGGCAAGTGGCAAGTTAATAACGCCTCTATGCACGTCGAGCGGCGGCGACACATATCCAACGCCATGCATGCATGCATGCATTTATGCGCCCAGCAAGGTGGTCGACCCACACGCGTATAATAAGTCATCCCATTCCATGTTGATCAGTAATGCTACACTTACGGGCGGATGGCGTACGGGATCACCTACGCCCAGATGTAGCTAGTGGGCAAGAACAACAGCCTAGCTTCTATCTATATAAACTGATCAACATGTGGTGTTGGACGCACACATATTGCGTTCTAGTTCTAGCTGGTGTTCCAGCACCATGGAAAGAGGACCATGGCCGAGAGCAATGGCGGCCCGGTGGCTCTTGTTGCTCCTTCTCGGTCCTGCTCTTCAAGTCCATGCCCAGCTCGATAGCTCAGGTGAGCCCGTGTACGCTAGCTCTTCCACACATGTGAGAACGATGGTGGCCATGCATGTAGTACGGCACCAGCTAGCCGCACAAACGTTGTTCCATCAAATCCGTCCTTGTTCCTTACATTTTCTGACATTATTACACTAATACAATACAGATTTCATAAGCATTGACTGCGGCCTGCCGGAGACGTCCACAGGCTTCACGGACAACGTCACCAAACTCTCGTACGTCCCGGACACTGGCTTCACCGACGCGGGCACCAACCACAACATATCGGCTGAGTATGTCACGGCGTCTCTACCAATGAACTGGCACACACTAAGGAGCTTCTCCGGCGACCGCGATGCGCGCAGCTGCTACACGGTAGGGGACCTCGTGTCCGGCCTCAAGTATCTCATTCGAGCCATGTTCATGTACGGCAACTACGACAACCTCAACCGGTTGCCCATCTTCGACCTATATTTGGGCGTCAACTACTGGCAGACCGTGAACATCTCAGCCACGGACGAGATGATGATTTACGAGATCATCTCCATCATCTCCGACGACCACGTGCAGGTCTGCCTCGTGGACACCGGCTCCGGGACGCCTTTCATCTCCAGCCTGGACCTCAGGCCGCTCAAGAACAATCTCTACCCGCAGTCTGACGAGTCGCAGGGGCTGGTTCTTTCAGACAGGAGAAACTTCGGCGCAAGCGATAGCGTAATTGTCAGGTACTCAAGCATTATTTTCGAATAAAGAAGGTTTCTTTTTCATTAACTTAACACCGTATGCATCAAGCTGATACGGAGTACAACGGATATATAACACCAACCGTTAGGGTAACAATGATTGACAATTAATGGTTTCCGTTTTGATGATCTTGTAACTAATCTTTGTTTCTTTAATGCAACCGATTTATCAAGGTACCCCGATGATCCATACCATCGTATATGGATGCCACTATTGAGCAAGACGGCGGAGTGGTCAGTAATCTCAACGGACAATATTGTCGAGAATCGAAGTAACTCCTTCGAGGCTCCATCAGCCGTGATGCAGACTGCAGTCATGCCCACCGACCCCTCCAGCGCCTTCGGCTTCATCTGGAATGCCCAGTCTAGCGCCAAGAACCACATGCCCGGGTACGTAGCATCTGATTTAGAAGGTGTGTAGTGTACTGTACGCATTTATTCGTCCGAGGCGCATGATGCAGGTTCAGACCCCATATTTGCACTGGAGCATGGAGACACCTGTTGCCGTGCCCGTCCATCCTCAAGAAAAAAGATAGAAATATAAAAGAAAATATATGGGGTAAAATCATGGAAAATGGATATCTAAATAGTACAACATTTTTGTTCAAAGTTTGGCTGTCAATAAAAATTGCGGACAAATGACATACTAGTGCTAATAACAAGGGAAGCGCTAGGGATCAGACGTCTTGATACCTTGCATCCTATCTGACCCCTCCATAGCCGTAGGATTAGCAGCATGTGGTGATTAATTGGTGCAACATAACAAGCATGTGGTGATTAATTGGTGCAACGAAGCCATATTCGGTATATAAAACAAGAATGAAGTGCATTCTAGGTCCTTGAACTATTTCAGTGGTGTCATGTAGGTTCTTGAACTATGAAAGATGTTATCCAGGTTCTCAAAGTGCAATATATGTATCATCTAGGTCCTCATATTAGTTCAGGTTCTCAAAGTGCAATATATGTATCATCTAGGTCCTCATATTAGTTCAGGTGTCACATAAGTCCTCAAACTACTTTAGAGATGTTTCATGTATTTACACACTTATTGCACTTCGAGGGCCTAAATGATATTTTCATTGTTCAGTGACCTATGTGACACACCTCTCAAATAGTTCGAAGACCACTTCACTCATAAAACAATACAACAATTTGATTTCATGTCCCCACATCAAGTTGGAGATCAGATTTTACAGGAGCTTGAAATATCAAATACTCCTTCCATCCCATAATATAAGATGTTATTATAACCAATATATTAGTATATTGATTGTAATAACATTTATACTATGAGGTGGGGGAAGTAGCAGTATTTTGATTAAAAAATAAAGAACATGATCACCTGAGCACTACCCACACAGTTCCACGACGCAATGTATCACAAACGAAACCAACACATCTATACACGAGATGATGTGAGAGAGCAACAAGATGCGGCCAGTACCTGTTTGAGGTCGACGCTGGAAAAAAAGGGAGATGAGCTGGAGATTGGGATGGATCGGAGCTGGGGACGAGACACTTTGGTGGAACAACACACAAAGCCTCGCATCGCCTCACGGATGGGTAGGCCTGCTAAAAGAGAGTCACCCCCCTCTCTCAATCGCGCAGCCACGTCATTTTGGCCCGATAATGACAAGCCACCCAAGTCAACTTAAGGAGCACCGGTAACCATAGGTTGGGTCGGCGTGTGCACGCACTGTGACGGGCCCAGAGAGGGACTGCGGACGCTCAAAGGATCTGGATTGTTGATACATTTAAGCCAAATCAATGTAGAAGGGTGTAACTTTCCGTTTTACTATACTAGTAAATGCATATGTGCAATGCACGTTAATATTACGCATTGATATTAGGTAGGATATCAATTACACGTTAGTTATATGATTATCACACACGATTGATATTTGGTATATGGTATTAATTTCCTGCTACAAAAGTTAAGCGCTCGCCATTGAAGTAATCTACGTCCTTGGATTGACATGATTTGATGGTTACCTCATCATCTTGTATCGTTCGGTCGTGTACAGAGTATCGTTAATGCAATTCTTAGTTTGTAGAGAATCGTTAATGCAATTCTTAGTTTGATTGTGTACATTGAGGATATATATCTGTAGAGAGATGATAAGCTACTTTGTAGAGAATCGTTAATGCAATTCTTAATTTGTATGATATATATAGAATGACTTAGAGATGAAGCACGGTTGTGTATCCAGAGGCTTAGAAATGTGACTGCGTTTGAGAAGAAGAAAAATCAGTCAACACGTATACAACTCCTAAATATTATACATGTATGTAGGACAGGATGGTTTTTACATTCAGTGAGATTTCAATGTAATTCACTGAATTTCATTAATTTCAGTAGACACTGAAATATTACGTTTCGGTCAAAATATTTCAGCAAATTCAGTAGTACACAGAAAATCAAATATTTTTCAAAATACTTTTTGAAAATTTCAAATATTTAATTAAATTCAAATGAATATTTCGGTCTTTTGGCTGAAATGCAAACTGAAATAACTGAATTTCACTGAATTTCAGTGATTTCAGTTGGTGCTGAAAGTTTGATGAAACTGAAATTGAAAACGACAGGTACGTCTGCATGGTGTACTTGGCAGAGCTGCAGCACCTCCCCCGCAACACCGTCCGACAGTTCAACATATACCTTAATGGCGAGCTAGGGTATTCCGGCGGCTACACCCCCTCGTACCTCTTCACCGACGTCATCTACAGTGACAAGCCCTTCTACTCCTCTCACCCGTACAACATCTCAATGAACGCCACGAAGACTTCGACGCTTCCGCCGATCATGAACGCTGCCGAGATCTTCTCGGTTGTGTCCACCACCGGCACAGCCACGATCGCTCAGGAAGGTAATCAAGCAGTTATGCTCAGAATTTCAGATGCTTGCGGCCTGGTTGTTAATCATAGATTTGTGTATTGCTACTGAGAAATGTTATATATAGTTGCTGCCATCACGGCGGTCAGAGACACTTACAAGGTGAAGAAAAACTGGATGGGCGATCCGTGTGCGCCAAAGAAGTATGCATGGGATGGATTGAGGTGCAAATATTTCGAGTCTAGCCCGCCAAGTGTCACAGGCTTGTGAGTAAATGTTACTATGTGACAGTACCATTTTTTGGGTTGAAACAGGTACCATAATCTGAGTCATTACATGATGTAGGAATCTATCTTCGAGTGGTTTGAGTGGCAACGTGTCATTTTCTTTTGCCAATCTCAAAGGTTTACAGTACTTGTAAGTCGAAGATTGTTAACCTAGCCATTCCACACTGGATGTTAAATTTTTTGTTTGGGAAATAGTAAGTTCTTTACCTTGGACCTTACTAATTGGCAGGGATTTGTCAAGCAATAATCTGACTGGCTCAATCCCTGAGATCCTATCACAATTGTCATTGCTCACGCTTCTGTAAGTAATTAATGGTGCAGTTCTCAAATACTTACTTCCATAGTACACGCATTAGTTAATTTTACTCTGAAAACTACGTGCTTCTTTTAGAGACTTCACAGGCAATCAACTCAGTGGATCAATTCCTTCCGAGCTTCTGAAAAGAACTCGAGATGACTCCCTCATAATCAAGTTTGTATCTAACATCAGAACTTTCCAGTGATAATTCCAAATTGGCAGTGGCTTACCTTAGTTCGTCAATACTATCATTTACTCATTTTTTTTCTTTTTGCTAGATATGATAACAACCCGAACCTCTGCACTAACAGAGATTCTTGTCAGCCTGCACAAAAGAATAGCAGGTCTATGGTTGCCGTCTATGTTGTTGGGACGGTAGTTGCAGTGTTGCTGATTGTGCTTCTGTTGGTGCTACTCCTTTTCCTGCGCAGGCGGATGCATGGTAAGACTTGCCTGAAACATAAAAGTCGGCAAGCCTGGATGAATGGTGAAGTGATTAGATAACACTAGTTTGTCTTTCTGGTTTCTAAAGGTACAACTAGCAACATCATCACGATGGGGAACAAGGCGATTATCGCACCGTCACACGCTCAGAGCAGCAGTGGGCACAGCTCGCTGAGGCTCGATAATCGCCGCTTCACGTACAATGAACTGGAAACCATAACGAACAGCTTCCAGAGAGTGATTGGCCGAGGAGGGTTTGGCAAAGTCTACCATGGCTTCTTGCAGGACGGGACCCAAGTAGCTGTCAAACTGCGCTCTGAATCTTCAGATCAAGGTGTACAAGAATTCCTGGCGGAGGTGAGAATTAATTTGATATGCTCTAGTTTAACTGATGCAAAGGTGAGAATTCGGTTCGGTAATGGACGAACGATTTTGCTTTCAGGCTCAGACCTTGGCTAAGATTCATCACAAGAATCTTGTGTCCTTGATTGGCTACTGCAAGGAGAGGGAGTACATGGCTCTTGTATATGAGTACATGCCTGAAGGAGCTCTACACCAACATCTTGGAGGTACAGCCGGTTTCTCAAATCAAGTAACGACCTTAAGTAAATTAAGAAGTACTGACAAACAATATCAGTGCTTGTGACTTACATGCTGATTTCTTGCAGGGAGCACGAACAATGGAAAAACTTTAACCTGGAGGCAGAGACTTCGCATTGCATTGGAATCCGCACAAGGTAAAGATTTTAAATCTGAAATTTACTATGTTTCTTTAGCATGGAAGATCAACGCTGACCTGGTTGATGATGCGATGTGCATGCAGGGCTTGAGTACCTTCACAAAGGATGCAATCCACCACTCATTCATAGGGATGTGAAAACGTCTAACATTCTATTGAATGCAAACCTGGAGGCCAAGATAGCTGATTTTGGCTTGCTCAAGGCTTTCAATCGTGGCAATGATACCCATGTGTCTACTGCTAGAGTGGTCGGCACATATGGTTACCTTGCCCCCGAGTAAGTGGATCATTTCAATATTTTCTCTTAGGATGATTACAACTGAGTATATACCTCTTAAGTTATAACTTCGAAACTGATCTACCAGTTAATATGCAAAAGTGCTCTCCTTGAAACTCGACTCATTGTGCATGTCATACTTTTGAAGGTACCTTGCAACATTTCAGCTGACCAACAAGAGTGATGTGTTTAGCTTCGGCGTAGTGCTGCTAGAGATAGTCACTGGGCAACCTCACATCCTCAATGGCCCGGAGCCAACGAGCATCGTCCAATGGGTGCGGCAGCGCCTAGCCCATGGCAATATCGAAGCTGTAGTGGACTCACGCATGCGTGGTGATCACGACATCAATAGTGTGTGGAAAGTCGCGGACACCGCACTCAAGTGCACCACGCAGGCACCTGAGCAGCGTCCCACAATGACTGATTTGGTGGCGCAGTTGCAGGAGTGCCTAGAGCTTGAGGTTGCACGTGGTTACACAAATGCTGGCTTTTACACGACTCGGAATGGGGATGACATGTCAACTAATGTGAGCCAGAGAACATTCGAGATAGATCATTTGGGCAGAGTGCCAACAATGTCTACAGGTCCAGCTCTCAGGTGAGGAGAAGACTTGGACAACGAATTCTCTGTGGCCCTCATCCACAAATTTCTATACTCGCGACTTGGTTGCGCAGCTATGACCATCCCGAATAACAATCCCTTTTGGAGGGAGTATGCTTTATCTAAGGAATTCAATAATTATTTTATGACATTGATTTATTAGAGCAAGTACACATGTAAAAATGTTCATACATTTAATGTGTTCCATTCCATTGGATTTTCTTAATGATTGAGATTGAGATAATACGTGATGACTGAGAACTGGCAGTACCAGTGGCTGAGTCACAGCACATCCCGGCTGGCCACGGTTCGAAACCCATCTCAAAACAGGTTCAAACCTCCTCAGGAGCGAAACCGTGGCATCTCACCCGGGTGGGCTCTATCTTAATATATAGGCCATGTGTTCCTCTTCCTCCCCATTGGTTCTCCAGACCATTTAGTGGTGATTGTTCCCACATGCCGCCTCTCTGCAACTGCTACACCCACATTGAGCTTCGACATATTGGCCGGGGGCTTCAACCATTGTTTCGGTCTTGGTGTCTGGCTACTGGCTCTTGTCAACACAACCTTGGTCTCAATCTGAAAATCACTGATATATCGCTGTATAAAGAGGTGTGTAGATAAAGGAGATTGATGAATATACTCATAAACCGCTTTCCTCTTCGCACCCCTTACTGCCCACAGGGTGATAAACATCCGCATAAACTGTTCTGGATTAAGTGTTTCATTCATGGCAAAACAACCACTCGCGTGGGTCATCGTTGATATGTTGGCACATCTTCTGGCCAGCTCTTCATCCGAGAGCGCCCATACACATCGGGCATTGGTGCAGTCAATCATCATGTGTTTCCACGAGTCCATGGCTCCGCTGAAGGAGATATGCCCTAGAGGCAATAATAAAGTTATTATTTATTTTTTTAATTCATGATAAATGTTTATTATTCATGCTATAGTTGTATTAACCGGAAACTTAGTACATGTGTGAATACATAGACAAAACATACAGTCCCTAGTATGCCTCTACTTGACTAGCTCGTTAATCAAAGATGGTTATGTTTCCTAACCATAGACATGTGTTGTCATTTGATGAACAGGATCACATCATTGGAAGAATGATGTGATGGACATGACCCATCACTACCAGGGAAAACCCTAGTAGTAGCGCAGGTTTAATGCCCACTAGTAGCGCGGGCAGCCGCGCTACTAATAAGGCGCTACAGCTATTACTTAGCAGTAGCGCGTGCGACACGCGCTGCTGCTAAGACACATAGTGGCAGCGCTTGTTATCTACCGCGCTGCTGCTAATCTAGCTAGTAGCAGCGTGTTTACTATCCATGGCTACTAGTATTTTTTTTTATTTTTTTATTTTAGTGCATTTATCCGCCGCTATACAAATTTTGATACAATACCAATTATGAGGTTTATATCATTATGTCCATAACAGCGTGTCAAATGAAGGTGGATTAGGTTCAAGTGGAGGAAATATGTGGTGCATGTCAAAAGTATACTACTAATCCAAACTTGATCTAGTTTGGACTAGTAGTACTTTCGATGTGCACCACATGTTGCCTCCACTTGAATCTAATCGGCCAACACAAGCTATTTAATCATCATCATAGTTATTAGCACCAACAGTATTTATTTAATCACCACTAACACTAGCTCAAAATAATCATCATAGTCATTACCACCAACACTAGCTATTTAATCATCATAGTTATAGTGTAACACATCATCATCTTTAAACTCATTTCTAGCTAGCTAATCACTCCTGCTGCTCTCTCTCAGGTAAAATAACATAAAACATGTGTAGCTCTCTCCTCCTTCATCAAGTTGGAGCATGCAGATGAACATGTCTCTTAATCGTGGGCCGCGATTCTGCTTGCTGCCTCCTAGTACTTGTCTGTGCTCCTCCATCACATATTTGGTCCAGTCTTTCACTATTAAGAATTCGTCGCTAATCCTGAATGCACTATAGTGATTTGTAGGATATCTTGGCCGTAAGCTAACAATACTCATGGTACCTTTAGTCTCGATCCCATAAGGCACAACATCCATCGGGAGTCCCTGTTGAAGAACATCGTATGGTAACATACTTAGCAATGAAGTTTAGCTTAAAAAGTAATGTATGAAAAAGATGCATTGAGGACAAATAGTAAAAATCTTACAATCTTTTCTTAATAGATGTGATCGTAGTTCATTATGAACACTATTGGTCGCACGTGTTCAGTACTAACATTTCTAAATACAGGAAGAAAATTTGTCTTGACAGTATCAAGATCCGCAAGCCATGAAACATAATGACTTAGCTCCTCGCAGTTTAGTTCAGCCCCGGGACAGTAGTAGGTCCTGTCTACCAAGCGCTGGACATGTTTGCTTGAACAGAAATAAGCTGACAATAGAAATTAGTTGTCAACTATTTTTGAATAAACAATATCAAAGACATAAATATGGTTGAGAAACTCACATAATGGTATAACTGGAGGCGTCTGCACATCGACCCAGATGTCGGTATTACCTTCAATTAATATCATCTTCCGGACGAATATCAAAGGTGATAACCATATCAGGCTCAAATGCATAAGTCTTGCATAGTGCTCGCCATGTTTTGCATCCAAAATATAAGTAGTCGTCTGAATTGTATAATTTTGCGTGGAAAATATAACCATGCTCGGTCTTCAAGTAAACTTCTTTACCTCCATAGTATGACTGAAACCTATCTTATCCAATACAAAAACTCTTCCATGGCAGGGGATACGCTATTAGAATAGTAAAAAAATATAAGTTGAAGAAAATGAAGCAGATGTCATGCTTAATTATGAAAAAAGACTTGTCGTTGTGACTTACTGTATCCACTTCGAAGTTTTCGTCCAGCTTGATGCTGAAGTGCCTATCATCATCTAGGAAGATTCTGTCATACAGACCGCGCTCGTCTTCGCAGTATTTGTAAATAGCAAAATCCTTTTCGTCGTCAGACATTTCCTATGTTCATAGTTAAAACATTAATTGAAAATTCCTTTCCGGGGCACTCGATATTTCCTACATATTCTGGCACAAGTCATGCCAAAATTCACGGAAAAATCCGGCATGACCTTTGCTAAAATATGACATATCAAGCGCCTGAAATTTGCCGGAACGGAAATGAATCAACACTCCGGCAAAACATAGGCCACTCGGAGGTGTAACCTGCTAACATGACCGGCCACTTGGGCAAGCACATATCCTATTTGAGCAACACAAGATATACATTTCAAAATATCTTATAGGACTCAAATTAGCATGCATTCAATAAGCAAAAGTACATCATCTCATGCCTCCGTACATCATCGAATATTATCACTAATATATCCCGAATAGTATCATACATATAACATCAGTAATACAACTAAAACCCTAGCACACGACGGGTATCGGCGCGGGCGGTGGACGCCCACAGAGAAGGAACCATCACGGGATCATAGCTCTAGTGAGATCCCTGGAGAACCTGCCAGGTATTGGAGAACCTGTGCTCCAACGCAAACAAGTAGCGACGGACGTGTGCGTCCTCCTCACTGGAATGGTGACGCACCACCTCCGCGGGGTCCTCGAGCCTCTGGACCGTCACTGGCCCACGCGACCGCCACCAAAGAAGGTTCGGGTCAACGACAGGCTGGCTCCTCACCAACCTGCGCCCCCCGGTAGGTAGCGCCTCCCAGTACCACCCCGGCGGAGCCCAGTCCCGGACATGGCCCATCTGGTCAAGCAGGTGTCGTCCTCCGCCGACTCGACGACGAGGATGCGGGATAGGCATCGTCCACGTCGATGCGGGAAAAATTGCTTTAACTAAAAAAATAGCAACAAGTTCTTACTAACTAGTTCTATTAATTCAATTAGTTCTTACTAAAAATAAACTTACTATAAATAAAAACAAACTAGTACCTAATTAGTACCTAGGTCTTACTAACTAATTAGTACCTAGGAACTACTGCCCTAATTACCATATAAGTATCCATTTTTTAACTAGGGTTCGTACTACCTAATTAAATAGGGTTAACACTAATTGTAATTAACTAACTAGCACTAAAAATAGCCTAGGGTTCATACTAACTAGCACTAAATAGCTAGGGTTCGTACTAAGCAGCGAAGAGGGAAGGGGAGAGTGCTTACAGAGGGCGGGGAGAGAGATGGGGTCGGGGGAGATGCGGCACCGAGGCGCGACGAGGCGGGGTCGGGGAAGACAGCGGCGAGGCGGGGTCGGGGGAGACGGCGGCGAGGCGGGTCGAGGGAGATGGCGGCAGAGAACGAGGGCAGGGGCTCCGGCAAGGTCGAGGTCGAGGAGGAGGAGGCATAGGCGCGCGATGACATCGAGGAGCAGACTCCGGCGGGAGCGAGGGCAGGGCCTCCGACGAGGGCGAGGGGAGGGGCTCCAGCGGAGGCGACGAGGAGGAGAAGAGAGAGTGGGGAATTGGGAGAGGAAGCAGAGGAGAGGGAAGGCCGCGCGGGGAGGGGGGGGGGTTAGGTAAATAGCTTTAACAGTAGCGTGGGAAGCGAAAACGTGATGCTGCTAAAATCCATAGTAGTAGCATGGTTTTTAGAAGGGCGTTACTACTATACCTAGCACGTCGGGAACTGTGTGGCAATTATAGTAGTAGTGTGTTTTGTTCCTGTCGCGCTACTGCTAAGTGGATAACAGTAGCGCCCTTTAAGCCAACGCGCTACTACTGAGTAGCAGTAGCGCCTCATTTTAACACGCGCTACTGGTAAGATTATGTGTATAAGGTTTTCCCTAGTAGTGCATCCGTTAGCTTAGCATTATGATCGTGTTAGTTTCATTGCTACTTCTTTCTTCATGACTTATACAAGTTCCTCAGACTATAAGATTATGCAACTCCCGAATACCGGAGGAACACTTTGTGTGCTACCAAATGTCACAACGTAAATGGGTGATTATAAAGGTGCTCTACAGGTGTCTCTGAAGGTGTTTGTTGGGTTGGCATAGATCGAGATTAGGATTTGTCACTC